TTTTCATTTTCAAAATCGGACGGAAGACCTCTCATTGCTTGCAATGAGTTTCTAGTTATTATTATTATTCTTTTTTTCTACTTTCTTCTCCGGTACTTTTTTGTCCGGGAGTGTTCTCATAGAACCACTCATCCGATTGACATGAAACCTTTTTAGGGTTAATAGGCATGTTGTGTAGGTGTTCGGAACGAAGGTCATTTTGCGCGCACATGCATGCACGTGCGCGCGCGTGCGATGAGTGAAATAACTGATATACTTGATGAAGCCGTAACTTTTATATTTCTTGATGAATTGCTTTGAAACTCAAAGTATAAAGATATATTAGTAGTCTAGACAAGATAGCATGGTCAAATTAGCGTGAACTCACGCGAATGCACGTGCGCTCTTCTCTGATTGGCTGATACAAAAATCTCTATAATTTCCTTGTTTTTTGACAAAATACTTTGAAATTTAGAATATAAGTATATATTATAAGGTGCTACAACATGTTATATATGAATTTTCTTGAAAACACGCGCATGCAGGTGTGCTGCAATCTGATTGGTTGAAACTTTAAATGTCTATAACTCCCTTGGTTTTCAACAAAACAGAATGAAATTTACGACATGGATAGTCACATAGAGCTCCCACATTATGATACTATCAAAATTGAATGCAAGGCCATATATACGCGTATGCTGAATTCTGATTGGCTAATACTTAAAGGGTTACATCTCTCTTATTTTTCAATGAGATTCTTTAATATTTAACACAAATGTATGTATTGTGAGACACTATAAGAAAATTAATGAGAAAAATGTAGAAAACATGTGCAAGCACATGCGCCGAAATTTGATTGGCTAATACCCATATGGCTATGTCGGAGAAGTTTCCAATGAAATACCCTTAAAAATAAAGTGTCCATCTATATTACTAAAGTATTGTCTAATTTATTGAAGCTTGTAGGGAATGGGGCATCATAAGGGATTGGGGGGCCGTTTGGGGAACATCTGTAACGGTTCCCGTTACAATTAGCACTAGTTCTGAATACGTCTGAAATATATTAAGATATTCTTAACATTTTTCATACGCGACATTTATAGTAAAACAATCCTCGTTAGTTTACTTTAGGAACAAGAAACGTCCTTTAGTTTTTTTTTTCCCCTGAAGCACTGGAAAAATTTAAAAATATTTAATTTTAGAAAGTACTAGTTGCACGTTTATTCTTAATTGGGAAGTATATGAAATTTTGCCCTTTTCTATGAAATACCGATAAGACAGACAAAAACATTGGGAAAATATTAAACTACAAAATGAGATTTAAGATTTTACAATCAGTTGCCACAACATTTCATATTCGGAAGGATGATAATTACCCGTCACAGGTTAGAAGCTCCGATGTTTCGTAAAGCGGATATCTATCAATTTTTCAATTCTTGAGATTGTTGTTAGCGATTGTGTCTGTAATTCTTACCTTGTCCGGTTTGGTATAAGTGTACAGACATTTAAAAGTTCTATGCATTATTATTTTGGTTGGAATATAAAGCATCCTAATCGAAAACAAAATAAGCATTTAGGAGGTAGATTTAAAAAATTGTACTGACCCCAGCCTTTAAAAGCAGATTCATACTTTTATTTAATGTAATTAAGTTAAGTTGTAGATTGGATGTTGAGCATTCCTGCAATCAAAAGAAAGATGCTTCTTTTGAAAGTTTATTCTATCGTAAATTTTGCATGTCTTTAAGTGCACTCATCTTTTTTTGTTTTTAAATCTAAGTAGATCTTAAGTTGGCCAAAGCAGGTTTCAATATCTTAAAACTTATTCATTTCATGCAGTTGATAATTCTCCAACGAATAGAATAAATGGAAATAAAAGTTCGATCAAAGTTTCAGTTTAATTGGCTTTGAACGTTATCCCTGTACATTTGTGCAGATAAGGGTGTCATAAAAAATGCAAAGATACAGTTTATACCGCATAGAAAAACATCTCCTTACTGTTACACCGCCTCAACCAAAGGTTTTTTCCCCAATACATATTGTTGTTGCATGTATGTTGGATGTCTCCAAACTTAAGCCCTACCGTTTACTGGATATAGTAAGAATCGTCATTCATCTGACCAATCCACTCTTGCCATGACTGAACCTTCCATATACTATATTGTTGTGCCATAGCAATCCTGTTTCCTGAGAATGGGCGTTTTATTGGCCAATATGATCTCATCTTTTCCTTATTAAGCCTCCTATTTACTATGTTTCTGCTGATGCTGAGAGTTTGAAAGATGAATTTCCTTCTCAGTGTAATTAAAGACTCTGTGTACTGTGTAGCTAGTCTTTCTCAAACTCTATCTTCCCTCTCTGTTGTCTTTCTCTTCTTTTACTTTCTTCAACTATTCCAGACCTTCTCTAGCCCGATGCCAGACAAAAAATTAAAGATTGAAGTGTTCCTTCTATACATCATTCAAGTTCTTACCTTTCCAAAAGCGTGCTAGCATTCAGGATCGGACTGTTTCCTATCTTGCATGGTTTAACAGAACTTACCAGATTTTTTTTTTATGTCATACTGATTTAATTCTGCAAGCGGTAATCCATCTTATACTCATAGTCCCCTTTCTAAGGAGGAAGTTCTTCAAAATTATATGTCAGTTTTAGATATATTTAAATTCCCAACAATCAATCTGAATTTCAATTATCATACTTATACTGGACTACCAAACTACAAAAATATCGTTACAAAAAAGGAAACATAGCTGGTTCCAGTAAAAATTCTACCAGGCCTATTTCTTTACTCCTGACTAAAATATTAACAGAAGTGAAGAAACCTCAGGAGTACTGTGCAACGATATATTTGGGAAGTGGTGTACATCAGATGTGGATACTTAAAAAATCGAAAAAAAATTTAGAAAAATCACAAAATTTTACTAAAACCAATAACATCAAAACATACGACTTTCAACACTTCATACAACCATTCCCACGAAAAAATTAAGGTAGTCCGATCCTCAGGTTCTGAAAATTAGCTTTTAAGTAATGGAAAATGCTCACAAAAATGTCTCTGATTTCACATAGTAAAGAGAATTTACCCATGGAATTTCTTCGAAGTTCATCATTATAGTTAATCATATTATATTGGGAAAATTATCAAATCTCAAATATATTTTCAGGAAATACGAATAAAAACATCAGCTATGCATTTTCTAATTGAAAATTGATCAACAAATATAATTTAGGATAGAAAAACATAGGTATCCAGGTTTGGAGAAAATGGAGTCTTTTTTTATGCTTATACAATATTTAAGTTCTTCTTTTTACTTCAATTGTCATATAATATATATGTAAAAGCCTGTGCTGTCATTGCTAGACATCAGATATCACATCTAATTTTAAATCATGCTAATTAGCAGTGGTATCTAATGCTAGACTAAAGAAAACCCAATTTCTTTAAAAATGAATTCATTTTTTCTTTTATAAGGTACAAATGTCAACTTTTTACAAGACCGTTTCTAAGACTTCAAACAACCTTGAATCATATTAAGATGCATAAAATGAAAATTGCTGCATGAAAAGATCTCAATTCCAAGCTTCATTTTGAGACTTTTTAAATAAAATAATAAATTTTAGAGTTATCCTTCCTGGCTGAGGATCGGTATTCCTAAAGACCAGATTTTTTGACATCATAGACAGCTGCTTGTTCAATAAAAATGGAACTCGTAAATTTACTTTCCTTGTCATTGGTAAATTACAAAATTGTTTTGTTAAAAAGCATTCTAATTGTACACAAGTACTCTGAAGTAGATATTAAAAAGATTCTTGAAATTCTGATTGTCAATATCTATGTAGTTTTTGGAGATTAGGTCTTCCAACAATTTGTTGGAATTCCCATGGGTACCAATTGCACTCCGTTATTAGCAGACCTATTTTTGTCTTCATATTCAGCAGAATTTATTCAAAATCTTATACATGAAAAGAAGAAAACACTTACTGTGGCTTTCGATATATCGACGACGTATTATCAATTAGCAATAGTTACTCCCATGTATATGTCGACTCGATATATCTCAGTGAGCTTAAAATAAAAAAAAATACCACAGAGTCTATTTACTATTTGGATATTTTAACAGAAAAAAAACGTTAATGGTTACCTAATAACAAAGCTATATGATAAACGTGATGACTTCAACTTTTCAATCGTCAACTTTGCTTACTTATGTAGCAATATACCTTTATCCCCTACATATTGGGTTTATGTCTCTCATTTGATTCGATAATCAAGAGCATGCTCTACGTGTGAACAATTTATAAAACAAGGCTAACTATTGACAACAAGTTGACGAAACAAAGGATATCAACAGTCTCGTTTGAAGTCATCAATTCGCAAGTTCTATGGTCGATACAGCAAATACAACCTATCATTAAGTCAAATGCCGACTGACGTTTTTCATAGGAATTGTTAGGCCATTGTTTACGTACTGAATTGTCTGTGGATTTTTCCGTTATTTACCGATCAGGACAAGGAGCATCTGGCGGGTGTGACCGGTCTGCAGGGAATTGATACTCACTCCTCATAGCACCTGATCCTATCTCTGATGTTAAGAGGTCCTTGTTTGCTCTGCACCAAATTTTTGTATCGTTCCAATGGACTTTGAAATTAATTACTGTTCGTTATTTTCATATTTTATGCAAACATTTAAGTGAATAGATGGCGGCCTTAAAGAAACCTGTTTTACTAGTACTTCATTTTGGATATCAATGTACAAGTAACATTATAAAACATAATAAACACAAGTTTGATCATATTTGTTTGATCTTTATTTACATTTTACTTATCAAGCTAAAGTATATCGTTAAGTAATTATCACTTTTCATGTTTTCCTAGATTGTGTCTATTCCTTGCGGCAAAGCTGAAGAGAAAATGCCCGAGGAGATTCCCTGTCTTGTTTAATAATGAGATGATATGATTTGATTTACCTGTTTTATCATATCGATAAAAAATAAGTTTTCCTCAAGGATGATATATTACTTACATGTACACACGTTGCATCTTTTCCTGCAGTTTAGTCTCATGTAGGCTCTATATGTTTGGTTGGTACAGGTTTCTGAAGAATAAGCGTCACAACTTGGGTCTAGATCCATACAAGGGGGTAAATAATCTGATAACAGAAATGAAAAAGTGTATATTTGTATACACATTATATGAAATTAAGGTTACAATCCATAAAAAAATATGGAAATAAAGGATCAAAACAATTTTATTAAAAAAAAAAAATAAGGCAAATCATAATCTGTTATATATTTCAACATACAGTACCGACCAGACACAACCTAACACCAGAGCGAACCCAAAGCGCACCCCGGGTTCGCTTTCTGGGTTCGCTCGGGGTCCGCTACGGGTCCGCTTTCAGAAATTTTGGGTGCGCTCTGGGTTCGCTTCGGGTTCGCTCTGCGTTCGCTCGGGGTCAGCTCTGGGTCCGCTAGAGCGAACCCGGCGTTCGCTTTCTGGGTTCGCTTTTCGCACTCATGCGCGAAGCGGACCCCGCTTTAATCTTGCCGCCAGTAAGCTCCGCCCCTTGTTTATTCCAAATACAGCAGTGAAATCGATAGTTGTTGTTTTTTTGTGGCAATCGATACATGTGAATGTGCAGTGGCTGCAATGTTATTGTTGACAACATACACGAACGATCATGTTTTACGCAAAATAGTTAAAAATATTTAGGAGTGGATATTTAAAAAAAAAAAAATTATTAATAGATATTAATACATTAGATATTTTAGATTAAAAATATTTACTGCTGCAATTAATCGACTTTGGAAAACTGAAAAAAAAATTATAGAAAAAAATATTTTTGAAACTACATGTAAATAAGATTTAATAAGCTTTACATTATTTTTTGTAAAAGATAAATCAAAATAATACCATGATAGTAGTTTACGATTGGACATACTGTACATGTACATTTATGCTGTTCTTTCTTTCTTTCTTTCTTTCTTTTTTCTTTTTTTTTTTTTTTTTTTTTTTTTTTTTTTTTTTTACTTTTTTTTCAATTAAGAAGATTAATAATTTTGATGTTGAACTGGATTTAAACAAAAATGTAAATTAGAATTGAAAAAATAAAATAATTGAATGAAAGCACGTACATATACATACTCTTGTACAGATTCTTGAGATAATGAAATGCTATAATTTGTCAAAAAACTTTTTTTCTTCTTTTTTTTTTATAACAATTGTGATAACCATTATTTTCTTTTATACATTAAAGAATTTTTTTAATCGTGTTAATAATAATTTCACACTGTATACGCTTTGCTTGTAGAATGTTTTATTTACATCGAATGATAAACTGGCATGCTGATCGGTCGAAGCGCTGATTGGTTAACACGTCTGATCGCTAATCCTGATTGACAGCTCAGTTACGCAACACCGAACGCGCGTTCGCTTGCTGGGTTCGCTACTGAATTTGGGGTTCGCTTTCGGCGTTCGCTCTGGGTCCGCTGCGGGTTCGCTCGGGGTGCGCTCCGGGTTCGCTCGGGGTCCGCTATAGCGAACCCGAAGCAAACCCAGGCAGCGAACCCGGGGTGCGCTTTGGGTTCGCTTTCTGTTAGGTTGTGTCTGGTCGGTACTGTATCTATGTTTGCATTTTGTAAAATTTAAATTTTTTGGAGGAAAATATTTGAAATTCTTATCTGTAATAGTTAATTATTTGTTAAAGTAAATGGTCTTAACACACAGGGAAAAGAGGGAGGGGGCTTTTTCTGAAAATACTTTTTACTCTGTAAATTATCATATAGAAGCTGCATTTTGCATCTCCCCCACCTTGGAACACTGGGGAATCCAACAAAAATGTACGAAAAAATTAGAAAGATCCACCCCTCCTCCCTAAAGTAAGATTTTCAAGTTGAGGCAATGTTATTTTTCTTTGGCTTGCCAAATTTTTTATGGAATTTAGACTAGCAATTATAGAAAAGCAATTATCATTTGAAATGTGACAATAAAATACAAATACGATTCCCAAATCCTCAAAGCTTAAGTGAATAATGAAATTGAAAGTATTATAAATAATATTTTTTTCTTTGTAAATATATGTTTACTTCCTCCATAAGACATAAAAGTCTTAACTATAATTGCCAACGATCCTTGTGGCATACCGATCCCGATATATTTTCACAGTTAGTGTGTGTGGTAATTGTATTGCATATATATAGTTTCAAAGTACAGTGTAACCAGCTCGTAAATGTGTTACATCAATGCCAATTATTAAAGTCTTGCCTCTCAAAATCAAAAAGACAATTTAAGTCAACCGTCCGGATTCTTTTACAAAGCGTGTCAAAGGTCAAGGTCAATTGTACCGTAACGCTGGTATTTTTCTTAATGTTTTTTTTTTTTGTTTTTTGGTTTGTTTTTTTTTATGACAAACAGTGCACATATGCTCGTAATAGCATTGACGTACCTCTTATGTGTCAAAGATACTGTATATTTTGTTGTTTATAAGCGCAAAAAACTATTCTAAATAAAGCCGGATTACCAAGCAATATATACATGATATATGTGTAAAATATCAAATCCAAACCTCTTACACTTCTCAAGAGGGTGTGAGAGACGAACATACGGACGGATGCACAGACACCGGTTAAATGGATTCCTAAGTGTCGCTCTTCTCTGTAGGCTACAAAAATATTAGCTTAGGATTCTGACAACAGAATCGTATGATAATTATAGTCTTACTTGGACAATATCCACATCTGTATGGACAAAATTCTCTGAACCAGTCCTCATACATTCCTGTACAATTCTCATCAGCGTAGCCCCAACAATCAAACCTATCTCTACACCATTCAGCAACTGAAATTTGAAGCAGCGCGTGATATATCGAATGTTTAAATTAATGAAAAATTATTGATTCTCAGAAAAATAATTAATCAGTGTAAAACTATTGAATTGATATAAAATAATTGAATTGATCAATGAAAAAGAAGTGAATTCATATTTCATGAGTACATTGGTGTCTGCAGGCCTAATCAAGTACATTGTATTTTAGATTCCTTTTTGTTAACAGAAAGTCCTCATCATGTGACCTACAAGACAATGCATTTTGAAAGTCATCAAACCCCTTCTGCTTTCTGATCCTATTCTTAAGATGAGCAGCTGATTGTATCAATTGTTTGAACTAATACATGTGAAAAAATGTTTGATTTTCAGAAAAATAAAAAATGTTATCGGTATAAAACATATATGAATACATTTATATCAAGATGTGTTTGTGAAACACTGATGCCCTTATATGACAGCTTATGGCGAAGGTTTATGTTTCTCAAATGTAAGTCAAATTTCGAGGTCAAAATATAGAGATTAAAAATAATGATACCTAAAGAAAGGTATTGTAACACCTGTGAAATGAGAAGGTCATGTCTTAGGGAATACACTTGTGAAATTATAAAAGTCATAGCACTAACCATTCAAAAGTTTTGGTCAAGAATAATGTTTTATTAAGTTGGCCAAACTTCAAGGAATGGCCTTGTCACAAGAAAACACCTATGGAATGTGAAAGCCCTAGCTCAAACAATTCAGGGACAAATGGTCAAAATTGCTGATCCCAAAGAAAGATGTTGTCACGAGAATCACACAGGTGAAATATAAAAGCCTTAGCTCTAACCATTCAAAAGTTATGGCCAAGGTCAAAGCTTTTTTTAAAGTAAGCAAAATAGCAAGGTTAATGTCAAGTGCTAAAATTGTTGGCATCCTAAGAATGGTTTTGTCATAAGGAAGACACCTGTGAATTATGAAAGCCTTACTTTTTACCTTTCAAAAGTTAAAGTCAAGCTTTTTAAAATAGATCTACCTCCAAGGATAAGGTGAGATGGTCAAAATTGTTGAAACTCAAGGGATTGTTTTGTCACAAGGAATACATCTAGGAAATAAGAAAGCCTCAGTCCTAACTGTTCACAAGTTATGGCTAAATTTGAAGTTTTTAAAAGTAGGCAAAACGCCAAAGTCAATGTCACAATTATTCATACCCAAGGAAAGGTATTTTCAAAAAGTATATGCAGGTGAAGTATAGAAGCCCTAGCACCAACACTTCACTAGTTATACCAAGGATAAAGTTTGGTAAAATTTTACGAAAGAGGGTCAAACTGCAAGGTCAATTTCAAGAGATCAAATATGTTGGTACCAAAAAAGGTCTTGTCACAAGGTATAGACCTTCGAAATATAAAAACCAATCAAACATTATAGGCACGGTTAAAGTTTTTGTGGACAAACAGAGACAGACAGAGAAGCGGACAGGATAAAACTACACTGAACCAAACTTCTAAGTGTTCACCTAACATTTTTTAAGTTATAAAGAACAAATGCATACAATAAATAATTTCTTTAATTCATGGTTAATGATGCTTATTTCAGTTCGATGTTGCATACATTTCATGTAAATATCTCGTCAGACTTTAAAGCAAAGTGTCAAGGACATGATGAACCCTCAAAATGAAAATTCACATAACATAATCTCTATGGCGTAAGACCACCACTCGCTCTAATTACGGCAAGACATCATTTTCGCATGGATTCCATGTACCCCTGAACAGAAGGCTGGCCTATCTGCCACCTACTGCATGGATCAATCTAAACCGTTGAAATTGTGTGAAGGGGGGTGGGTGGGCTTTGACATTCCTTTTAAAAGTCCCAAATGTGTTCAATGAGATTCAGATCCGGGGATTTGGCAAGCCATTGCATCACACAGAAGCCTTTTGGTCAATACTTAGAGCCTCCTTGGGCATCTTACACTTAAGTGTACCTCTTTAAGGATGATTCAGACTGTTTGAAATGATACTGGACTGCTGGAGCACCAATTTGTTGCCATTTTCGTACCATTAATTGAAGCTTGATTTAAATGTTTCTAAAGTGGTTCAGGACCATGTAACAATCTTTTAACCTGGTTGTGACGCAAAACCTTGGCCTCAGACGAAAATCCAGATCACTTCCGGTTTGATTAAGTTTTGTCCAAATCTTTCAAATTGTGATAAATTGGCGATAAAAATGACGCACAGCCTATAGAAAAATGTGCTTAAATGGATTTTTATTCAGGTTATTATTTTTTTAAAAGTAATATGAAGGACAAATAAACACTAAAATAAAAGTGAGTAAAACGTATCCTAAGGATGATCCAGATATCAACATTCCAACGGCTCTCCCTAATTCCTCAATGGTCATTTTGGCCATGTTTTGTGTTTTTAAGTTCAATCAGTTGTTAAAAATTGATAATGGTCACAAAAATAAGCTGATTACACAAAACACGTGCCGCAAAGTACAGATTTATTGTTTTTAAGCTTCGTCACGGGACATTGGTTTTCATCGGTGATAATTGATTTTCTTTCGACAATAGTTGAGAAGATTCATTGGTTATAATAATTTGAAAATATCATACCATTTTATCATGTAGTTTTTAAATAAATACATTTATTAGAGTGAACACTTATAAGTTTTGTTAAGTGTATATACCCCAAATCTTCCATTAATAGGACATAACAATAAAATTGCAGAATGTCAAAGAAATATGTCAAGTGGAGCCTGGTTCAATCGAATACATTGTATTTTGGATTCCATTTGATGTAAACAAAAAGTTCCAAAATCGAAATTTGACAGTAATATCACCTTAGGTGACATAAACTGAGATGTCCTCATTACCTGGGTTATAAGTTGTTGTTATTGTTGATGTTGGTACTAAAAAGAAAGCATAATCAGTTACTTAATAAAATAAAACGTGCACGTTTTGCTGGTAAAAATGAATATAATATGATTACTTTCCAATAGAAATGCCACAATTTCAAATTTACTGTATTCACATCCTTTTATATCTGAAGATCTAGAGTTGTGATTAATTATTAAATATGAACCGAAAATTTGCACCTGCCTCTCCTGACATTTCTGGTGTTGTACTTGTTGGTCACTAGGACTCTGTGAAAGGTTATTTACCTATATATCTGATTACCTGGTGTGGTTGACACCTATCTTTTCTGGTGTTGTGGTACTGTATATCTGATTTGCCTGGTATAGTTTAAACGTGTCATGCCTGGTTTAGTGGTACTGATAGTGACTAGAACTGTGGGAGCTAACTCACCTGGTATATCTGATTTATTCTGTATATCTGATTTACCTGGATTAGTTGACACCTGTCTTACCTGGTGTGTGGAACTGGTAGTGACTAGGACTCTGCGGGAGGTTACTTACCTGGTACATCTGATTACCTGGTATAGTTGACACCTGTCTTACCTGGTATTGTGGTACTGGTAGTGACTAGAACTCTGTAGGAGCTGACTTAGCTGGTATATCTTATTTACCTGTAAGAGTTGACTTACCTAGGGTAGTTGTACTGGTGGTACTAGAGACTAGGTACTCGGTGGGAGCTTACTTACCTGGTATGTCTGATTTACCTGTTGTCTTACCTGGGGTAGTTGTACTGGTGGTACTAGAGACTAGGTACTCAGTGGGAGCTTACTTACCTGGTATGTCTGATTTACCTGTTGACTTACCTGGGGTAGTTGTACTGGTACTAGAGACCAGGTACTCAGTGGGAGCTCACTTACTTGGTATGTCTGATTTACCTGTTGACTTACCTGGGGTAGTTGTACTGGTGGTACTAGAGACCAGGTACTCAGTGGGAGCTATAACAGAAATCAAGAGGTAACGCACAGGTTACTTGCAATATGATATATGTTGTGTGTTCTACCAGGGATTGCTTATATATCAACCCAGGAAATTAATATTCAGGAGCAGAAAATAACATTGTTTTCTAACAATCTGAGAGTCCAGGTACAAATCTGGATGCAAGATCATTCCTTGTATAATGAATAAGACTGACCTATTATTATAAAAATGAAATAAAAACTGGTGCATAATTTTGATTTTTTTCTGGCAATATAGATACCTCTACAGAAGTTGCAGGTCTTTCTACAGTTTTCCCTCATGTATTGTCCATATACCTCCTGTTGACAAGCATCTGCCGCGAACCGACTGCAGTAGTTAATGTTGTCTACGCAGGGTAACTTCTCTAGAAAAAAAAAACACACCATAATAAAAACTCGGAGCAGTAGTTAATCGTGTCTACGCAAAATATCTTCTCTATAAACACACAAAATTAATCACTGGTTGCAGTAGTTAATTGTGTTGGGTAACTTCTCTAAGAGTAACAGGTAACTTTATCCTAGAGATAGGGTGTTTCGCTACGTTATCGAGAGGACCGGGTTCGATTCTCGTTCGTGACAATTCCTTCGCCAAGCGCCCGGCATTAGAAGTGAGTCAGGGGTTTTTCGAGTGAGAGCTATAAAACTGAGGTTCTGTATCACTATTTGCTATGTTGCAATAAAGAACGCTCTCTACCCAATGGTCTGAGTGCTGAACCTAGGTCTGAATATGAAGCCCTTCACCGGTAAATAAATTTGCTCCATAAACTTTTACCAATGAAGCCTACGTCGAACCAACGCTAAGAATATGGCTTATGTACCCCCCCCCCCTCCTCCCCAAAGCCATAGCGAGCTAAAATTCAACGTACGCGGGCAGTATCCACATCTCAAACTGCAGTTAGCCCTTGCCCATGTCTCATACACACCAACACAGTCTTCATCCTTGTATTGGAAACAGTCACGACCAAGTGCGTCAGAACATTCTGTAATTTAAAAATTATAAAAATCAATATCTATCTACCTATCTATTTCTCTATCTATCTACATTCTCTAGCTTGTAATCTATCGTATCTTTGTGAAACACTTTTGAAAAAAAAAATATATACTTGGAATTTTTACCTTCAGTTGTCGATAACACTTTCCCAAAACCAAAACCAACTAACAAAAGCACGAAAGCAAAACTAAGTAGACGATTAATTCCGTCCATTTGTCTTTGTAGACCAGACCCTGACACTGGGTGAGGAAGATGTTAATATGTGTATTTCAAATGTTCCTCTTATAGATATGATAGAGTCTCTAAATTTGGGTATCGCTTAGCAGTTGTAAAGTCATGTTATAGACATGCATTTTAGATAAATGCACGGCTTATACGCATTGGTAAATATGTATCTCTCGTTTTAGGTCTAAAGTGGCATAATCCTTATCGCCTTTATCTTCTTATGCCATTTCATACTGTGATTTTAATGGGAACAGCGATGGTGAACTAGATATGCAAAAAACAAGATATCTGGTACCCTCCACTTACCACTTCATTATTTAAGAATGAAATATATGGAGATAACGAACAGTATTCAAGCTCAAAAGTCCATTAAATAATACAACTTTTAAAGCAGAGCAAACGCGAACCTCCAAAACATCAGAGGGGGGATCAGGTGCAATAGAGGAGTGAGCATCCCCTGCCGACAAGTCACACCCGCCGTGTGCTCCTTGTCATGATAGGGAACTAACGGAAAAATCCATCGAATATTAGTGTGTAAATAATGGCTTAACCATTAGTATGAAAAATGTCATTCAGTATTTGACTAAATGATAGATTGTATTTGCCGACAAGGTCATTGTATCGACCATAGAACTTACGAAATGACTAAACTTTAAACGAGACTGCTGATATCCTTGTTTCATCAACTTGTTTGTCAGTAACTTACCTCGTTTTAGACATTTTTCATACGTAGAGAGAAAGAATGTGACTAAATGATGCTATGTTTTCTTCTGGCAAAACGTATTAATCGAAATATAACATGTCCTGGTTTGACATAGTTTTTATCCATTATTCTTTTTTTTTTATTTTTTACAAAATTGTCCAATGGATTTGTAATCCCCTTAGTGGAGTCCTCAACTCATTTACAAATAAATAATGCAATTATTCTACAGCAAGAAAAGGGTACAACTGAACATCAACAAAATAAGGTAAAAGGTCAAAGCAAAAAACAATTGCAAACACAAACTACTATTGTCAAATAGTAAGCTTTAACAACTGTATAAAAACAAGACTAAAAAGTCTGCTATTGCAAGCGATAGCGTACTGAACTGACTATATTGGAAATGGACTAAAAGTACACAACAGAATCTGTAGTAATCACTGATACCAGAAATATCAGCATATAAGTACCACTGATACTTATATAAAGGTTATTTAATCTGGTAATTGTCAAATAAATTAATCCCACACACAAAACAGAAGAATGCATGGCAACAGAATATAAACTCATATGAGGAGCTCTTTATTTTCTAAAATAAATATCAATTTTGAATGTCGGATGCCCAGTTATAGTTTCTAACCATAATTTCTGTAAGGTTTCTTCTAGATTGTCCAAGCCACTTCTGAGAAGATATAAGGGCATCTGTCAATTTTCTGTTCCGTTTCTATGGCAACTGTGTACGACCAATTCCATATTTTTATAGAAATCAGTTTGACACAATACAAGGAACAATCCTTTAAAGTTTCAAAATGATCACCTGCGCAGTTACTGAGAAAATTTTCACTTTTCCTCTGTTTCCAATGCAACAATGGGCAATTTAATTTTAAATGTACTGCCCGAATAGAATTACTGATTATCATTTCTGTAAAGATTCATGAGGATTATTCTAAGAATCAGCGAAAAAAATTCCGGACAAAAATTCTTCACTTTTCGTACGTTTCCTTGGCAGCGTAGCCATTTTGAGAAAAACAAGTGTTCATTGCATAACTACAGCTGCTGAAAATGCTGCTTTTGTGGAAAGTTTCAGCAAGATTGTCGAAGCCATCTACGAGACGTTCCGCGGACAAAATTATATGGTATACAATAGGTATATGTCTCCTACGTTCACGGTTACATTTAAGGGACTGCAAAACAGCACTACTAAAAACACTACTGTTCAACAGGCAAAACCCTAGATACCTTTACAACAGGAAACATAATAGATAAACGCATAAAACCCCATAAAAATTTACAACAAATAATTTATATAACTGCACAGGAACTATCACTTTAAGGGTTGTTCTAAAAAAATGGAAGCTGTTTCTATATCTGGTAGAGTACCTTACCAATGATATGAAATGTTTTGAAATGGTATTTTTTTTATTTTGATATAATATTATGAGGTTGTAATCTCATATGCATATGGAAACGGTATTTTAAGGGTGTAAAATATATGTGGTCGGTGCAACGCATTTTTTTACCATTTAAGAATAACATTGGGGGTGATGTTTTGTTCATTGCCAGATTATGTGGAAATATAACGTGAACACCGATCAAATCTTTATGATCTGAGGATCCAATGCGTGAAAATTTATTAGTTTAACATCAAACATAGCAATTGCAAGTTGTTAGATGTTTGTACGTTTTCCGTAGAAATTACCAAACATTAGACATCGGGTGCTAATGCGGCGCACCAAATTATCATTCAGTATCGTTTTAAGCGGGAAATGACTCGATCTTGTCCTCAAGGAGAATGAAATGGATATTATGGATTAAGTTTTTGTTAAATTTTTGCTTCAAGAAATTTTATTATTTCATTATAATTCCTCGGCATCACAATCGCCACAGCCATTGTCTTGAAATCGTCGGTGTTGCACCGACAGTTATCATGTATGGCTCTTTAAAGTGAGAGAAAAATGTTATATATAGATATACTTTGTTGAACATCCTACTTTGAATTTGTAAATTGTTGATTAAGTTGCATGTATATTTTCAATTTTAAATTATTAGTAAAACAAGAGATATCCTAAATGTTTGTGTTTTCTGGGATAACCCGCGTGTATTAAATATTTATATAATTATAACAAACGTTATACAAAACTCACAACGTACGGAAGTATTATAAACAACAGCACACTAACAAACACCATAAATAATTGCTTAGAGAAAGAGAACTGCGCAATACCAACACAACACAATACACAACTATATAACATTTAACATCATAAACAACTGTACTAATGTTAATACTAGAAACAACTGTACAACAGCAAAAATTAAAATTTTAGGGAACCAGGGTCTTTTTTTACCTCCATTTGACTCCCAGGTTTGAAACGAAAATTTCAAAGTCTTATTGCACATCTACAGGACACCACCAATGATCCTCCAAAAGACGATTAAGCTACTGCATAAAATATAAGAGGAGTTCTTGGAACCAGGGGTTGCTAGAAAAACATCATTTTCGACCCCCATTTGACCTCCAAGGTGAAAATGAAAATTCCGTAACTTATTGCACATCTACAGCACACCATCAATCATCTTCCAAAAGATGATGAAGCTCCTGCATAAAATGTGAGAGGAGTTCTAGGAACCAGGCTTTTGTAGAAAAAAAAACGTCATTTCTTGACTCCCGATTTGCCCCCAGGGTAAAATTGAAAATTCCAAAACCTTATTGAACATCTACAGAACACCACCTGTCATATTCCAAAAGATTAATTGAATTCTGTTTAAAATGTAGGCGTAGTTAGATTAAGAAAAAAGAGTGACAGACAGACGGACGGAGAGACAAGGGTAAGAAAAATATACCCGAACTTTCTTTAGAAACTGTGGGTATAATCAGAAACAATTGTACGACATATAACATTTATTTAGTAACAACTGTACAACAGCAAACACCAGGAATAACTTCAACAGTAAACCTAGGAATCAACTGTACAACAGAAAAACAAAGGAAACAGTTGAATAGTTGTTCCATCGCAAATAAGAACAATAGAAGTTTATAAACGTTCTTTTTTCTGTTATTAAAATAGTTAATTAAAATATCCGACATCAAAGTTGCAGCTCATATATCTTTAAAATCCATTGTACCTACCTTTATATGAATTAAAGAAAAGTGTAACTAAATTAAACATATCTTTAATTAATTTAGAGATAATTAAAATTAACTTAATTTGAAGATAGGTTCAAATATTTGAAGGTAGGTACAAATATTTGAATATATGTTAATTTGTAGTGCCATTAATAAGCTTGTTAATAGGAAAATGAAACTATTATTATATGATTTACATTTAATATTTCATTTCTCGAGAGTAGATTCCCTCTTCATAGACTTTTATCATTTTTTAAATTAGTTTTCCCTGAAAATAAAATGATATAAAAATGTTAAATTTATATACCTTACATAAATACTTAATAACGAGGTCGAACACTTCGTTGAAATGTCTTACATAGTTTAATTACTTGAGGTTTTCTCAAGTTTTTACATTCATGACTGATAATAAGTATGTAGCACTTGGATGATGCGGGTTTTGTAAACAACTGCTTTAAAACTTCAAACAGAACAATATTATTTTGTCTCTTTTATCTCTTATTGACAACAACCGATTGTCACTTATCTATAGACAGTACTTAATGACCGGGTATATTTCCACAACAGAACATTAATCTTAAGAAGGATGGTAAATGACCCCATTTCCAAACATTCAAAACAATTTCCTCATTTCTAAACAAACAAAAGACTGGTGTTGTTGATAATTATTCAAGGATCCAACGGGTGAAAGACAGATTCAAAGATGTACCCATTGCTAAACGTAAAGAAGGGTCATTTAGTAAATCTGTTGTTGATAAATAATGAAAGATTTCACAGGTGCAAGACAGTTTCAAACGATGTGTCACTCTGACACAAAAACACCCCCCCCCCCCCCCCCCGTCAAGCAAATGGCGGACGCGAAAGGTAAACAATGAAAAACTATAAGTTTGGCCATTTCATAGAAGTGAATCTGAGCGTAGTAACAATTACGTGGATGACTACAGGGCATTAGACCAATCATGGAAATCTCGAGTTAATATGTGTTCTACCAAGCCTCTTTCTTTACTCGATCCTCACTAAACTATTAATAATAAACAACAGTGAAGGAGAAACTTCAGGAGAATTGTGCAACAATATATACGAGAAGTGGTGCAAATCAGATGTGGATGCATAAAAACTCCAAGAAACTTTTGGAAAAATTGATATCACAAAATTTTACCAAAAATCAATAACA